CCTCTCACAGAAACCACCTCTGTCGGCCCTGTTCTCTGCTGCCAAAACCCATCAGACACAAACCCAACACACCATTCTTTAAAGTCAGTGATACCCAGGGCTCAAGCTCATATAGTTCATAGCATATGGGTACTTATTGCTATGAAATAACACCATACTGGCACTTTTTTTTTTTCTTATGCCAGATTGTGACATTCCGATTCCTGTTATGGACTGGCTGGATCAGTCCATAATGCAAAAGGTCACTGCACCCTGTGAGGCAGTGTTTCACTATGACGTAGTACTAGTTCTTCAAACATGGTAGAAGACTTACTTACCAAGAGCCTCACTAAACATGTATGCCAAAGTAATTGCAGGCAAATTTTCAGTAACAGCCATTTAAGGTGGAGATATCTATCTGCGCCATGGTGCTGATACTGGTTAATTTTTACATTCTTATGAGACAAAAAAAATCTGGTTTGTCCTAATCTCATAATCACAGTGTGTTAGCCACTCTTTATTTCTGTTATGTTGGCCAAAGTTGGAAAATTAATGTATTCTTCAACCTACTTGTTTTCAAGCAGATGTTATTTTGATGAAGAGTGTCGTGTCTAAACATGCAGTATCAATATGATTTTGCTGTCTTTTATGGGTTAATTAGAAAAGATAATATAATTTAGGAATTTTTCTTAACTTTGAAGAATCTTTCATGAATATTTCTCTGAATACTTCTGTTCATTTGAGCAAAGAAGTGTTCAGAAGAAGCTTGAATAGCCACAGAAAGAAACAAAAGAGAGAGAAATAAAGAATAAGAAACAAACCCAAATAGTGGCAGATTACAGATTTAGCCTTGCTGTACAGGCATTCATTTCTTTATTGTATTTATTAGTATTTCACTGCTGGTTGAGAGTTCCTATCTACATCTGGCTCTGTGCTTTCCATCCTGAAAAAAATTGCTTTCTAACCAGGCAACACAGGTAGTGTGAGAAAGGAAGTGTAATCTCTATTTTACAGTTAGGAAAGAAGCAAATGTAGAGTCTGACTGTTCTCAGGTCACATAGGATATCTCTGGGAGAGCCAGAAATTGAACCCACATAGGTTGCTTTAGTCCCACTGAGTCACACAATATCTTTTCTCAAAATGGAAGAAAATGCATTTGTTCGATATACTCATCTCAGTGGTTTTTTCTGTGGATGCTTTTTGGAACATCTGGGGTTTTTTCCTGTTTCAATTTATCCTGTTTTCTTGTCTTTTGTTTCCTAGTTGGCGTTAATATTTAGTGTGTGATAGAACGAGATTTAAAATTTCACTGTGTGAAGGACTGAATGAGGCTGAGTTTAAATAATTGTTTGAAGCTAATTAAACCATTCATTCAAAGAGATTACATTTCTAGATAGTCTTTATTGCCATTGCTATGTAAAAGATTTATATCTGTTTCCATCTCTTTTTCATAAATTGATGCATATGCAAAGATAGTACGATACTTCAGATGTGCTTATAAGAAAAAAAAATTTTCTACTTACTGTATTAAAACCAAACTGATAAAAGCTTAGACTGTAGGTTTTAATTGTGTTCTTTCCAAAGTATTCAGAAGTTGATAATTTTAAATGTACTGTGCATAGTTTGAAATCAGTGTCTCTGATCCTTTTCTCTGCACCAGCACATACACGGTGGATATTCCCGTGATCTCTTCCAAGACCAATTGTCTGCATTTGTACTGGGGAATTTCTTCAGCAATGTAGGTGCAAAACCAGTTTTGCTGATTTAATTTTTTCCTAGGATCTGTTTTTACCAGAACACATGAAAAAACTAGCTGTCTAAATGCCAACTGGTAAAGTCACTTTACATATTTGAAAATGACAACATTTTATCCTGTAACTGGAAAAAATAATCTCAGGGAGCCATTGAAGAGCTGGAAACTTTAGGACTATGTCAGCTTTTAATATTTGCAGACTGTTTCAGAGGTTGTGAGTGCTACTGGACACATATGTAGAATATCAGCCTTTGACGTTGTGGCAGCTTGGCTTTGTTGACAGGTTGACATTCATTATGTAGAATGGATTTAAACAATCCCCCGAATTCCTAATATGACTGAATTTACTCTGTTGTTTTTTTCCCTGTATTTTACTGAAGTTGCAAGCTGGTATAATGTTGTCTGTGATTGAAGGCAACAGCAGTAAAAACTGAGCCAAAAGTTAGTTTTGTACTAACAAATCTAAAAGGAGAGTTGCAGGTGGAAGACAGGTTTTGCATAGTGATAGGCTTACCATTCTATTTTTTGAAACTCTCTGGAGGATCTACCTGGACTGTCTCCAGGTAGAACAAGTAGAACTGCTCTGAAGAGATGCTGAGTGAGCATTAAATGACAAATTGATGTCACCACAAGGAGTACCGGCAGAGGGATCTTGCAGATTCACATCCTGCAGTGTTTTATTTAAACTGAAGTGTTAGGAAACAATTGGACTGTCTGGCAAACAATCTATATTTGTGAGTGTGATTCTTAAACAAATGTAGCGTTAATACCAGATTCAGTCTATGTTTGGAAAATTAACTGCAATATGAAGGGCACCTTGGTATGCATCTATCTTAGGGTTCTATTGGAAAAAATACTCCAAAGATTACAACTGTCCAGGCATATGGAATAGTGATTGCATGCAAATACATTTTATGATTTTTAGCTCAGCTCTGTCAGCTACAACTGCTGACTGTGCCTATTTAGTCAATGAATGTATTATGAAAACAGGCAGACTATTTAAACAGAGAAATGGGGATGAAAACAAGAGACCTAGATACTAAATATACTTTCTTAATCAAGATTATTGAAATTCTACACCTAAAAAAAATCTGGAATGTTTTAGTAGTGATTATATTGTGTTCTTATTTAATTGTGGGCTATATGGTTATATATTACTTGCTTCCTCCTTTTCTCAGTGCAACAGTATTTTAAAATACTGTGAACTTCACAGGGAATGGCTAAAAAAGGGAGCTTTTAATTGTGGACTTGCAGTATACTCATGTTCAGCTGGCAGTTATCAGACCAAGGATGTTTACATTTTTCAGTGAACTTCAAAAGTTTGTTGAAGGTTAAGCCTTGGAATTTTGCTATCTTTTAATTCTGATGTAGCCATGCTGTTCACCATGTGACGATGTTTCTCAGAGCTCTTGGAGGGGAGTAGAGGAACCACAGAAACATGACAACCAACAGAAATTAATCAATTTTATATTGTCTTTTTTAACTGCTAGTTAAAATGAAATTTCTTTAGTTCAACAGAAAACTTCTGTGCACAAAGGACATAGATTTGTTTTGATAGGCTTACTGAAAGAAAAATGAACTCTAGAATTAATAGTAACTCAGAAAAGGGAACAATAAGTTAAAATCCTGTGAAGTACTTCATAAATCTCAATTCTGAGAAAGTGCGTGGCTGAAGTTTTTGTTCTTCGTCTAAACCAAACAATCTTCATTATTTTCACTTCCACTATGTGTGGAAGGTTAGTAGTGATCCATAAGGCACAAAGTGTTCTCCAGTGAATGGCATGGACAACACTAAGCAGTGCTTGTCATTAAGCACATCTGTTTCCAGTCAAACAAGCTCAAAACAGTTTACAGCAAATAACATGTATCACAGAGCACTTTTTATTATTTTGTTTGTAAAGTGAATGGATATGTTCATTAAGGGGAAAAAGTGCCCTTTGAGGATGTTTCAAAGTGTTATTTTTTCTTTCTTGTTACTAGGTTTGCAAATAGTATTTCAGTTGTAATGAGAACAATTAAATTTCCTCAGAATAGAATAAGTGCTGATTTATTAATCCAAAACAGATTAATGTGAATTTGGATTAATTGTGAAAGAATGAGTAAAGAGCTTATACAGTGACAGGACAGCTGCATGTCTTTGAAACTCAGATATAGTCCAAGCAACTAGAATGTGAAAAAAACTGTTGCAAACAATTTTTGAACTGGGCTTTGTTCACACGTCAACACTTTTTATCTTCAGTGCTCTTAAATGAAAAAGAAATTTCTATGGAAATCTCTGCTGCTTGGCAGAGGGAGCAAGCTTAAGATGTAATTGACAAACCATAGAACAGAACTAGGTTTTGTTCCTTCCTGGAAATTGTTCTCTTTTTTTTGTCACTTAAATATTAATTTGCGGAGAAGTGATCTAGAAATTCTTCTTTGAGAATTTATATATTCTGTTGATTTGCAGGAGAAAGAGACTTTAAGGACATAAGTCAATCTGATTATAAAAAGCCATACTTCCTTGATACTTGATATATTAAGTATATATAAACTCGTTATATAGTTGAGTTTTACAAATGAAGAAGAGTCAGAGCTTGACCCTGTTGTCTAATGTATCACCTGATATGTATGAGACGTGTCCCCGTGTAAAGTAAATAACATTCAAAGCTGTAACCAAATTACAAGATAAATAAGTAGACCACATATTTTGGACTGTCTTCTATGGCCTCTAACTCTTCTGTATCAGTCAGTATCTGACATTCATCATCAACTGTCTCCAAAGTTAACTTTCTTAATAATGTTTCCTCTGTTTTCTGTGGAAAAATGTTACAGAGGCTGTGGTATACAGAAATTCCAGCCAAAGAAAGAATTCTAGCTGAGGTCAATAATAGTACTGTTTTCTATAAGAAAGTGTAATAGTAGGATTTTGTGTGCCTGACACCAGGCCTTTGAACTGATGGAAAGCTAAAATTCCTAGAGTAGACCCAATATTTGTTTTTATGACATTAATGATATATAAAGCTTATATAATTCCTATGATAATTGAAACAAATATTTAACAGTAACTAACTGTGGTGCTTTACTGAGAAATATAATAAGAAACATTGCTTATGCAGGGAAGGACTGGAAGATTGTACTGGGAAGAACTGGGTAACCTTTAGGACTGGGGTGCTTGGATGAAATTTGCATTTAAAGACTGAGAAAATGTCCATTTCTAGTGATGGGTTATCACTTTAATGTGAAGACAAATTGAGGAAACTGCTTGGCTCTCTTAGTTGGTCGAATGATGACAGTGAGTCAGCAGTGTGATTTAGCTCTAAGGCAAACGTTTCTTAAGTAATATCAAGGAAGCTATTTCCAGGACAAATGAAAGTATTGATGCATTTGCAAAAGGCAGTGCTAAACTTTGGAGTCTGGGGTGCAAAAATGAGCATGTGAATGGAGTGCTTGTCCTCCACAAGGAGACTGAGCAAGCATGGCTTATTTAGTCTGTGAGATGAAACTTGAGAAGAATGTGGATGTATTCTATAAATGCATTATGGATGCAAACATCAGCATAGGAGAGGGAAAAGATGTTTAACCTGGAAGTCAATGATGACATAAGAAACTGAGTACAAACTAGCTGTAGATAAATTTAAGCTAGAAATTAGAAAAAGGCAGGCAAGCCTAGGACAGGATTTTTCCTACATCACTCAGCTCAGTCTTGTCCTATACTATTACAAATCCTGTTTTTAAAATAAGCACATTTTTGCCCCAGCTTTCTAACTACTGTTAGAAAGTTTTCAGCACGAGAAAGAATCAGAATCTGGAGCTGCTGTACACTAGAAGAAGTGGGGGTAAAAGGCCCAGCTGTTTTAAAGTGGAAGTTGTGTCCATGAATAGGGTGTGATGTGGTTAAATCTGACAACACAGAGCTACTTCATGACCTGGTGATCTGTATGAGTTCTGTGCCCTGTTCCTATTTCTGTTACTGCATTAAATTTCAAGATGTTTGTTGTTTTCCCTAGATAGGTTACTCTTTTAAGACTGTTTTTGAAAATTCCTGATTATGAACAGTGGCCATGTTCCTATTTTGTGTTTATCACTTTGCTTGAATGTGTGTATTTAATGCTAATAGTGAATTAGCATTAAATGGTCTGAGAAAAGTGGTTAATATAGATTAATCTATATTCTTCTTTAATCCTTTGAATTTACTTCCTTGAAGATACATCAAAGATGAGCTTGGTTCATGAATACATTTAGAAGATAAATATGGGAGGGGTAAAGAATCCTGTTACGGTCTTTGTAAAGCTCGGAAAGAAAGCCTTTATATGCAGTAATTGACCTATATGATATGTTTTTCCCAGTTTGTTTCAGATCCTTGTGCCAGCAACCCCTGTCACCATGGTAACTGCAGCACTAATGGTGATGGCTACCTCTGTCTCTGTAGTGAAGGCTATGAGGGAACAAACTGTGAACACTCATTTCACAGCCTTCCAGTCTCTGAACAGACAGAGCTGACGTCACCAAGACAGAGCAGACCAGTCTCATCCACCTTGGAACCTGACATTGTTCTTCCTCGTTCAAGAGCAACTGTGATGTTACCTACATGGCAGCCAAAAGCGGGACAGAAAGTTGTAGATCTGAAATGGGATGAAACAGAGGTGAGAATGCTCTGTCTAAATAAAAATGCACAGAAAAGAACTTTTAAGTGTTGTCATTGTTGGGTTGTCGTTTGTGCATGATTTCATGCATGTACCCATGAGAGGACTGAAGATACTATCTCTGCCCTGAGTTAATAGGCTAGTAAAATTAAATGCAAAAAAACCCCAAACAGATTTGTTAAAAGTAATGGGCTTAATGTTGTATTGGTTACTTCTTTGAAATGGGATATTATTGTTTCTTCCAGTCATTTGTGTGATGCTATATATTCAAATAAATTTAGGAAACTCAAAAGGTTAAAGCAATAGCTTTAATAAATTTTTTGCTATTTGCAGTTATAATCGCATGTTGTTTTGAAAAATACGTCCCTGCAGTGTTAAGAAAACATAGCTATTTGAGGATTAAATATCAATATATTACACAATGCACAACTCTAGAGCTGCAATGATGGTGGAGGAAACTTTTAAACATTTATTGTGTCTCAGTAAAACGATATACTTAACAATATCTGGCAAAACTACAACTGGAAAGCACACAATATATGATCCTTAAGAAATGTGATCTTTGCTTTCTACTGTTTTGTACTGTTTTATTAGTAAATCTTAGATGTCTTGCATAGACTCTATCTGCAAAAATAAAAAGAAGTATCAAAGTCAACCCAGTTACTGTTAAATATTAATCTTTACATATGAAAACCAATTATAGATAGAAAGTATATTTGCTCACAAAGAATTGATTATTTCTCTCTTGATAGCTTTTTTGTGATTTGAGTTCATTCTGTCACATGACCATCCTCCTCCATTCTTCTTTGAAGTCCCTTACGGCAAGGATAATTTGTTGTTCTCTTACTCAGAGGTGCAAGACCACTACATCTGCATATGCTGTTCCTACAGCAGTTGGTACTGGCAGTCTCCAACCTGATCCAGAGATCACCCACCTATAATAAAACTATGTATGTGCAAAATGAATCCCAAAGAACAGTCTGCTGTAGAAGTGAACATCCATTTTGGGGGTAATGGTAGTGCCTTTTATTTGGTTTTGTTTGGATCAACTTAATACCAAACACCTAGGGGTAATGAAGCTTGTTGCTGAAGAAATATTGTAATTTCGGTAGGCAAAGAATTAAAATTTTTGTGACATCTCCCTCTTAATGAAAAATGCATTGTAGAGTAAAGTAACTTCATTTGAGTTTACTGAGGAATAAATAGGTTAAATGTCAGCTGTATCTGTTTTTGAAGTGTTTCAAGGAGTGTAGTTCTGAGATGTTTTCACACACTACATAATGAGAACGTGAACGGGCATATATTTTTCATCATTCTTTGCTAGCCCAAATTTGTTCATGTTTGTACTGTAGCATTTAGTTAAATCAATTTTTGAACGTAAAATCAACCTATGTAAAATACATGTTTGATGTGTTATGACTCTCAGATTGTATCTGAGGTACAAGTAGTTATAGGGCTGTATCCCATTTCAGTGGGAGTTCTGATGGGCACTGCCTGGAGAACAGAGCTTTATTTCTTGGAATTCCATCTGCTGTATCTATTATTTTACAGTAGAACATAGGTCAGGCACCAAGTATGGAGCTTGGAGAGAGCACTGAAGCAGAAACGAACAATGATCTGCCTTTATTACTTAGTTTAAATGCAGTGTCATCTCTGCGTGGGTGGTCCATATGTCCTGATCAATTAAGGGCATGCCATTGTCTGTACCAGATTTCCCTCAGATGTCTTCCTCAATCTGTGGGCTGATATTGTATGAGTAACATTTCTGCCTGGTTTGCGTTTTAGGTAGATTCACTAAGTGTTTTAGCCAAACAGATCATTCACAAGTGGGTATTTTAATAGCTGAAATTCACTCTTCTGCATGTCTTCTGTTACCTGAGAAATGCATATAGGTTATCAATTACTCTTCCATTATTAACACTAACATGGAAATTACTTGTAACCCTATTATGAAATTACTTCTTTTGATATGTTTATAATACATTGTGATGGGTCTTATATTTTTCACGGTCTTTCTAGTGTAGCATAATGACCTTCTATTATTTGGAATTCACAGTTAGAGAGATGCTTAACCGAAAGAAACATATTTCAGTTGCTGATTCAAGACAATTGTATCTGATCTACATTAAACTGAAGAGAGTTGATTTGCCTGAAAGTCTGTGTTCCAAAGCCTTTTTTGTGGAGGCTTCAAAAGTAAAGAGTTAAGCAGGAAAATACTACCTTTCCTTGTAGCTTTAAAAGCTTTGCAAAGCTTGATCCTTTCTTGCCCTCTGAAAAGGAAAAAAATAAAGTAACTGTAGGTTTTGTATTGCAAAAATCTGCTGTTTTGATCTTCCTTGGGATTCAGAGGCAGCAAAGGTTGCTATTATGATATTTTATTTTTTTTTAATCTTCCAAGCAGCCTGTTTTTCACATTATTCTATACTGATACTGCAAATGAACTTATGTTCTTCATACACTTTTGTCTGTTTACTCAGAGAGAAATTTTGCTAGAATATTTCCAAATGAAAGCTCTCACTGTCTTGCAAGGACAAAGTTTCCATGAATGCTTTTCCAGGAAGTTTTGGGAACTCAAAAAATGAACACCTGAGAGAAGTAAACAAAGAGGCATGATGTATGGTTGCAATTGGACATTTTTTCTGTATTCCTTAGATAGTAGGGGTATATATACTTGGTAGTGCTTGCTCGACTGAACCTTCTCGGCAATGTCTGCACCAGTAGACAGCATACAAATGTCTTTGGATATGTTTTCATTTCTTAGTGAGCTCTTACTATAAGAAATTAGTCTTTTCCTGATAATCAGATTATGGGTTACAAGCACAGATCATTGAGAGAAAAGTATTCTTGTCTATTGGTTTCTTTAGTATAATAGGAATTTATCTTTGTCCTCAACTGTTGAAAGAGACCTTTTTTCTACTTTGGACAACTAACTTGTTCCATTTGCAAGAGAGATATAACTAGCAATCCACATTTCCCCAGTTCAATGAACTTTTGTGTTACAGTGTAGAAAAGATATATATTAGCTAATAACAGAAGAAAAAATAAATCATATCGTTAATCCTGCTCAACTAACAGATCTAACAAAGGTTTCTGTGTACAAAATCAACTGGAAGAATAGCAGTACTGTACTCTTAGATAGTACTTTTCCTTAATAGTTCTGAAACTTTTTTTTCAAAGGAAATCAGCAATGTTACTCACATTTTGCAGATGGAGACACTGAAGCACAGAGGAGTAAAATTATTTGCCAGGTAAGCAGCCAGGAATTAGAATGCTAAGCACGTGAGTCCTAGTCTAACCTTTTATTTATACTGCAATACTACTGCTTAGATTCAAGCTTTTGGAGCTAGTGGTCAGAGGCTACAAGTAATTCTCCTTGCAATGGGGACAGCGTTTGTTTTACAAGTGTCCTTAGTCAGTAGATTATAAGCCTTTAAAAGGAGTGTGGCTGGGTCAGGTGGAAGATCCTGAAAGAGTGCTCCTGCTCTGTAGCAATGGAATATGCTTAAGGAATAATTCTGCTTGAACCAGAGACCTTTGAATCTTTGACTGCTTTATCTGTTGCTAAATGTATGTGCATTTTTTGCCAAAGTATGCTGTGGGTGCAGGAGGAGGCTGAACAGAATCATCATAGAATCATAGAATGATTTGAGTTGCATTGTAGAGTAAAGATAATCTAGTTCCCCCCCCCCTGCCATGGGCAGGGACACCTTCCACTAGACCAGGTTGCTCAAAGCCCCATCCAGCCTGGCCTTGAACACTGCCAGGGAGGGGGCAGCCACAGCTGCTTTGGGCAAACTGTTCCAGTGCCTCACCACCCTTGTAGTGAAGAACTTCTTCCTTACATCTTATCTAAATCTACCCTCTTGCAGTTTATAACCCTTGTCCTATTACTGCATGGCCTTGTAAAAAGTCCTTCTCCAGCTTTCTTGTAGGTTCCCTTTACGTACTGGAGAATCATGGAGGAGAAATCCACTTGAGGTTGCTAAATACTTAGAAACTCCATCCTTAGAAATCACAGCTTAGGGAAATCTTTGACATGGAAATGGATGGAGGCTGGAGGAAATATGCCTGCCTGTTCCATATCCTCTTTTCTTGGCATTTCCTCTTACAAATGCTGTTGGAGTTAAAGTGCTGGAATGTGTGTACTTTTGGTTTGACTTAGGATAGCTCTTCTTATACCTGTAGATAAGATTTCTTTTGGAAGCCTCTATTATTTTCTTTTCCTTTTAGAAAAAGTTATCATACAAACAAATAAGGAGCCTGAAGGAAACGGATTTTGCTAGAATAATCTTAACTTTCATCTAGGATAAATCTGTAACTTTACTACATCTCTCGTCTAAAATATTTGTGTATGGAACTTTCTGTACATTCTGATAGACAACTTAGTGTAAGCATCTCTGGATAGGTGATACCCTTTATTTTATTTATTTTCAAAACACAAAGCATCTCTAAAATCTCAGCATGCTCAAACAAAACTTATGTAAAGTTCACACAAATCTTAGTTTAGTGTGTTCCATTGCTAGAAGGTGTTTAATGGATAGTCATAAATGCTAGCTTTCCTAAAATCAAAACTCTTGTATCTCCTTTAAGGACAGAAATACCCTGTAGAAAATTCTGGTGAGTGCAGTTATGTGAAGATACTGAAGCCCTTCTTGTCTGAATCTATATTGGTGGGTGGGCTCAGGACTTTTGGTTATCCAGGGCTGTCTTTAAAAAGTATCTGGATTCTTAACTACTCCTTCAGGAATCATCCCAACTTGAAGTCTTTGAGAATCTGAGCAAAAAATACCACCTGATGTGCTCACTGCCTTTCAGTGTTTTGGTGTAGAAGTATCTATGTATGACTTGACAGACTTTGGTTGAAGTTTACATCCTAGCTTACTCTCCAGTGACCTGAGCTCATATACTGTATGTCAAGATTTGACAATGTGGAATTTTTGCTCAATGAGCTTGTGTCCACAGTGTTTACCTTTATTATTCAGAACAGCTCCATAAACTCT